ACCGCACTTTATGCTGATGTTAATCAATGGCCGAAGTTGGACACATTGAAATCTTTCATGGGGAATTTTAAAATGATTTTAAATATTAGTTGAAAATAAGAAGAAGTTAACAGGAATATGCTATCAACAGTGGGCAAGTGCATGGAAAGGAAACTGTCAAAATTTATCATCATAATTATTACAACATAAATAGGCAACTAGATACAAGCCAAATCATAGACTGACTCAGTCTCGGCAACATCTCTTCGAGCAAAACTTTCTCCTCTGCGTAGGAATCGAACCCATGACCGTCTGGGGGGAAGTTTCGCTCGGAACCGAACGGTGAATCAATGTCATAATTATTCTTATCGTTCTAATTAAAATCAATGTTCACATAGCACATTCGACGAACATGAAATCGGAAAGCAAATCAACAAAATAAGTAAACAATGAAGCAAACAACACTCTGTACATGATAAATTTTCTTTTTGTTCGTAAATCATTATCGTTTCAAATGAATATTACACAAATACAACAAATACATTACCACTTTTTATTGTACTAATTTCATTGTACAACTCATTCAATGCACTAAATCCCGAGGATTAAGCAATATCAAAATCAATCCACTTTTAACTGATTGAGGTAATATTTTACAGTTGATTGCAAAAAAAATACTTCGACATAAATGCCACAAATGTCTGTCAAATGAACACATTTCAAATGATATTTTCTAACATCTGCATAACCCAGAACTCATCTATGAACATTCACGTACAACATTTGTGAATGTTGCTCATATCCATCATACACGTCAATACACACTGTCCAATTTGAACTTGGAATACCGATTTTATGATGTTCCAAAGGAAATGGCAACCAATTCAACCCGACTTAAAGTGAAATTTCTTAAAATTGGAGCAAAACAGATCATAACCGCGAATCTCCTACAACTTTTGCTGTTTATGATCAATACCATTCAGCTGTTGTTCCGAAGGTCTTTTCATGTTAGTGTGATGATGATGCTGTTGCTGTTGTTGCTGCTGATGACGTCTTATGCGTTCCACGAAATCAATTAAGGTATGCCTATCAATCGGATGTATCATACTGTTATAAACGGCACGTGCCGTGTTCAACGAATTCGGTAGACTTTTATCTGTTCGTTCACGCATAAACACCCATTTGCCGTTCTTAAATCATCATCCATTTATTAAACAAATTTCATTTTGTTTACGAAAATCTACTTAAGAATATGATAAAACAACAACCGTAATTAGATTCAAATCTTTAGTAGCCATTCACCGAAACCAGTCGATGCTTTGAATCGACTCTATCTATGACTACTGATAGAATCAGCTCATTCGCTTGATATCGAAGAAACCTTTCGATTGCCGCCTCTAATCCTACTTACTAGAGGTGATAATCAGGTTCAGCTGATGCGGTATAGCCGGGTCGTATGATCAGTNCAAGGGATATTTTTTTGGGTATTCTTCATAAAAGATGTACCGATTGAAAAACTATTACCACAACAAATGCAAACTAATAACTCGTAAAGAATAACTGCGAAATTGAAATGAACAAACGATCTGTGTGAGATGAATGAATAAACGAATGAGTGTGTACCTGAAGGGTGCATTCAACAATTTTATTATTGTACGGAAGCAGTTTTTTGGTCGCTTTGATTTCACCCATCGGTCGCGATTCGTGTTGAACGTATAAAAATCCAATATGCTCGGGCAGTTCACCTTCTTTACACACTTTTCGAATTTGTAATTTGAAATCAATCGAATTATGCGACGGTGGCTTCCACTTCAGTACACTATCGCAACGACCCGCACGATATGGCTATAATATTCCACTAATCACTTTTAGAAAATAGTATTTTCCATCAGCAGCAAAAAGCACACAAATTTCATGCAGACAACTCAAATGTGTTCAAAATTCTACACCGTAAATAGTAGAATAATAAAATGAAGCACCTCTTTAACAGGTTGAAATATGAGTCCATCGATTTCATGTCCAACATTCTTGGTAAATTTATCCTCGAACAACTTCTTCACCGCCTCTAATCCCCAGAATTCCTGAA